TTTTTTTTTTTTCTTCTTTCTTTCTTTTTTTTTTTTAAGCATGTGGTTTGTTTGTTTGTTTGTTTTCTGGTTTCAAGACAACCCTTCCGCCCAAAGCAGTACTTCTGGGGCAAGGGGAGGGAATTCCAGTGGCAAGGGTTAGGGGGTGGGACTTCTGGTCCCAAGATGGCAACCAGGGGATGGGGCACCCATCAAGGGGCAGGGCTATCCTTGTGACCCTCAACAGCTCACCAAAACTCATTAAGCAGCCCTCCAGCTGAAATAATTGCCTGTCCCTGAATTAGCTGGTTAATCATGTAATAAATTTGTATTGGCCACACATGCAAAGTAATTATCATGCCATAAAAATGTCCACTGAGCTATAAAATGAGCCAACCTGCTTCAGAGTTAGTGTTTGAAAATGTGTAACAACTTTATAGCTGATTTCTGTCTAGCTTTAATTTGAATGTGTAGCAGGGTTCTAAGGTGCATAGAGCAAGGACGCCATTGATATCTAAAGAACGTATTTTATGATTTTGGATAGGTGAGGACCTGAAAATGAAACATCAGTTTCAGAAACCTGATGGTTCAGTGAAACTAAAGCAAATTGTGGGCTAAATACTGCATTAACTAAAGCAGGCAGATGTCATTGAAGTGGGCAACTTTTAAACTGTTAAATGGTATAGGTGTGATTTTGTAGTCCTGTGGTACATTGAAATTGGTCACAATGGGAAAATAGTGTTTTGCAGTGAGTTAAAACCATCCACTGAAGACTACTTTGGATTCAGGTTTCAGTCTTCATGAGAAATCTCATATTTCTAAGTTAGTGAAATGGCTGCAACAGGAAATGTAAATTACTGTAAAAGAATCCCAACCATTAAAACATATAATTCAAAGAAAAGAGCCTAATCTATGATGATTTACCATTCAAAATATTTAAAAATAGCTGAATATTCAGAAATCAAATGACAGTGAATTAAATGCCAAATGTTTTAAGAACATTGGTCACTACTAACACTGCACATTAAGAGCTGTGAATCTATTTGCTACTCCAAGATGCTTGGTAGTAACATGTTCACTTATCGGAAAGATTATGCATCTTGTATGTAGAGGAATTAGGTGTAGTTATTATATAACATCAGCTTCTCTTGTTGATTTCATGCAGGTCTGAAGGTTGAAGTGACTCATTGTGGAACAATGAGACGGAAATACCGTGTTTGTAATGTAACGAGGAGACCTGCCAGTCATCAAACGTAAGATTTGTCACAACAGTGAACGTGCAGTAACATGCCATAACGTTAAGTGTGTAAAGAGACTGCTTTTTTTTTCTTAATTGTTTTGGGTGTTCTAGTAGTTGGCAACTAAACTTTCAGTAATATCTTGACTAATACTTTTGTGCTGTCTTCCCAGCTTCCCTTTACAGTTAGAAAATGGTCAGACTGTGGAGAGAACAGTAGCACAGTACTTCAGAGAGAAGTATAACCTCCAGTTGAAATACCCTCATCTTCCTTGCCTGCAAGTGGGACAGGAACAGAAACACACCTACCTGCCTTTAGAAGTAATTCAAATAAATTAGTGTCCTATTAATACAACCATCTTTTTGCCAAATGTTAGCAAGTTGTATGTTGTGCAATAAAAACAGTAGAGCATATATGTATAATTACTCATTTTCTTCATGTTTTTGTTGCCATGGGCTTCCTATAGTGGGGGGTTAAGCTTTTTTTAAAAGAAGAGAAGCTATGCTGGTATACTATGATCGCAGCCCTTAAACTTATTTTCATTAAGAATAACAGGCAAGAGGTGTACAGAATTTTTAACTACTTTAAAAGGGGAGGAGGACTTGTCCCAGAGAAGCAGGCATCAGCTGTTATGATGCAACTGTTGCATCTGCATGCTTCTTCATGCTCCTGTAGCAATACAAGTAAGCTAAATTGCTGTAACTTTGATCCTGCATGAAACAGTTAAAGTTGCAGTGGTTTTGCTATGTTTATATTGCTATAGGAGCAGGCAGATATAAGTTCCAATGAACCACCTGTTTTGGTATCCCCTAACATGCATGCATTAGACTTTGAGTCAAAGATGCACTGAAGTCCATGTGACTTGCCCAGGTTAGCATTATTAAAAGCCAGCTCTAATGGCTAGCTGACACAGCTGTGTGCTGTGGCTAGTATCCCCCAACTCCTCAGCCCAAATAGCCACAGGTGCACATTGTACAGCTAAGTTAAATAGGGGAGGATGGTTTTCGGTGGGAATCCAGAGGGTGGCTTGTCCTCATAGCAAGATGCCTGAACTGTTCTACCACACTGCTCAGATTTTTACATAGTGACTGCATGGCTGTGTTATAAGAGAGGCTACAAAACTGCACTGGTACCTGACTTCCTTCTTTTTCTTTTAAGGTATGTAATATTGTGGCAGGCCAGCGATGTATCAAGAAGCTAACTGACAATCAAACATCAACCATGATCAAGGCAACTGCAAGATCTGCCCCAGACAGACAAGAAGAAATTAGTAGATTGGTTAGTTCCTAACTTTGAATAGGGATTCCTTGGGGCTTAACAGTTGAGAGCATGCTTGGCATTTATCAGATAGGGTCCTTCTTTTTTGTCTTCATTATGCTTGTTTTATAGATTCTTATAAACTCTCTCACAAGAATGGTCTGAGAATTAATGTATGTAAATTGATTCAGGTTCCCTATCTGCCCCTGATTCCTGTAACATTGGTATACCTTGTAATGTCTAACACGTGTGCCAGCAGTCTTGTGGTATAGGGCAGCCTTATTATCTCTGTTGGGACAGAGTTTGGGAAGACAGTAACAACACCAAGAATCAAAATCTCGGAGGTGTTTAGGTGACTGTAGGGTCTGGACCTGAATGATTTGCCTATTATGCAAGATGCCTGTAGCAGAACAGGAAATTAATCTTTTTGTCTACCATATCACCAGCTAGTATTTTAGCTAATAAACTACCCTTTCTCACTATAGGTCCCATGGTACTCCTTGACACTTGGCAGTCCTGTTTCCCTCCTGTCTGACCATCCAGCCTTTTAAAACATCAGCATTTTCCTTGCTTGGAACTGTTGATACGTAAAATACTGGAAATATTTGGTTTTATTTGAGTAGCATTACTAAAAAAACAGCCTGGAGAAGGTGCTTTTGAACTGACCAACTGAGAAATTTTGTTTAAGGGTAGAATAAGACTTTCGTGAAAGATGCCAGAAAGACTAATATGCAATACTCTCTCCAGAGTGCTGACCTTCATGGAGATCTGAAAGCAGATGTATTTTCCTGAACAATTTCCCCCTCAACTAAGGATGGGAAAAAGGCCTGTTTTGATTAATATTCTCAGTAAACATGACATTACCAATGGTCTGTGCCTCCAGAGGGCCACTTTCAAACTTTCTAATGCATTAAATACATAAAGAGAATTTTTTTTAATGGTAGAAAAACCCCTTGTGAAACCTGCAAGCACGATTCAGCAGATCAGCAGTCAGCAAGCTTTTCAGGTTGCAGGCAGGAATGACCCAGCCTCTCGTTAGAGGCAGGCAGGTGAACACTAGGAGTCAGCCACTGCCACTGCTTCTCCCCACAGTGGCACGAGGAGAGCTCCAACAGCTGCCACTTCTCCCCACATTACTACAGAGAAATCAGTTGCTGCTGAAGCCCCACCCTTTGCTAAATGCTACCCAAGCCTCGTGTCTGCAGGGTGAAGGTTGCCAATCCCTGCAGTAGCAAGATCAAAATGTGTTTAAGACTGGCATTCTAGGGAAAGAATCAGATTACTTAAAATCTGCTTTGCAGCAGCATTGCCAATTATATTAAATATAGCTCAGCATAGTACGTTTAAACCACATTATTACTTGCAAAGGCAAAAGTTGGGTTATGGGTGTTTGGATAATAAGAGAACACCTAAGTTGTCTCATTCTGTGGGGGAAGGTGGAGTTGGATGGATTTTGGCTAATAGAGCTGGGTGAGCAGTGTTTAAAAAAGTTAAGGTAACGGAAAGGGGAATGTTTTCCAGAACACTTGTAGATATAGGAATTCTGTTCATTTTTAATGTAACGTGGAAACTTATCCTTTCTTCAGGTAAGAAGTGCAAACTATGATGCAGATCCGTTTGTTCAAGAGTTTCAGTTCAAAGTTCGAGATGAGATGGCCCATGTGACAGGACGTGTGCTTCCAGCTCCAATGTTGCAATATGGAGGACGGGTGAGACTTCAGTTTTCCATTTTTTCCCCTTTGTCAACAATACAAGTAACAGCATTACTCCTATTACTGAAGCTTTGGGCCAGCTCAGTTTCCTTATGCATAGTGGAGAGAATCAGAGCTCAAAGCTGTATGTTGGGGATGTTTTCCTAAAATAGAAAATAATATAGGGTTTTTTTCCTCTTCTGATAACTTGAACATCAGAGTGTTTCTTTAATCTCCACAGAATCGAACAGTGGCTACCCCCAGCCATGGAGTATGGGATATGCGAGGGAAACAATTTCACACTGGTGTTGAGATCAAAATGTGGGCCATAGCTTGCTTTGCAACTCAGAGACAATGCAGAGAAGAAATACTGAAGTAAGGCATGTCATAGTTTAGACACTGGACTGTTCTTTCAGTGAATCTGTAATGTTCAAAATTCTAACCCCGGGACTCAGTACAATGCCCATTTTATCCTAGTTTTAATGCTGAAGAGGGTATTTGTTTATAACTTGAAACGTCTTCTCTTCCATGCTGGACCTAGGAAAATCTATTACCTTTGCAATTGAAGTTCTGCAAGGATACTATCAAGTGGTTTTCCTGCTGTGTGGTAGCCACAGTGGAACAGGAAGTAATCCAGTTCTCTGTATGGCTGGAGAGTCCTAAAGCTCTCTAAATCTGTTCCTTCTTTTACGATGGTATAAGAATGGCTAGAGCCTCAAAATATCATCACACACTATCTTAAAAGTCCCTCTGCACTCCATGTTTTTTTTTTATTTAAACTGTTTTTACTTGCCTTACGTAAAATGTCTTCCTCTGCTTCGCCTGTTTGTTATGGATGCCGCTGCTGAAACTCAGTAAACTTCACTCTTTCACTAGGGGTTTTACAGACCAACTACGCAAAATCTCCAAGGATGCAGGAATGCCAATCCAAGGCCAGCCATGCTTTTGTAAATATGCACAGGGGGCAGACAGTGTGGAGCCCATGTTCCGGCACCTCAAGAACACCTACTCGGGGCTCCAGCTCATCATCGTTATCCTGCCAGGGAAAACGCCTGTGTACGGTAAGGGAGTATCTAAGGACACACACCTTGGCTCAAGTGTTATAGCAACGGTCTTTGCTGCTCAGTTGGTAAAGTCTAGAGGACTGTCCTCCTAGGCATCTGAAACCAAGTGCTTTGTCTTAGGTGATACTGAATGAGAAAGGGGTCAGGGCAATGTAGTTATTGAGAAGTTAACAAGACGGAGCATAAATTTGAAGTACGGTGGCTTTGGCTAAGTTCTAATCTTTGCTTGTATTTCAGATATTTAAATACTTGTCTCTGGTGTATTAAAATTAATTTAATGCTTGCTTCTTAGCGGAGGTGAAGCGTGTGGGAGATACACTGTTGGGAATGGCCACACAGTGTGTTCAAGTCAAGAATGTCATAAAAACATCTCCACAGACTCTCTCCAACCTGTGCCTAAAGATTAATGTTAAACTAGGAGGAATCAACAACATCCTTGTACCTCATCAACGGTAAGAATCTCTTTTAGTGAGGGTTGCTTTGGGACTTGATTTTGGAAGGTTTTAAGTTTGGCATGTGTTCTCTATGGGACCAGTGGTGCTTCCATTGGCAAAATATCCTGATTTGCCAGTGACTTCAGGTTTCTTCTTTTCAGGTATGGTAAGGGAGAGGTGAAGCATTGCATCATCCTCAGTAGGTGTCAAAATTAATTTAGTCTCTAAGCAGAAAGCTGGTAAACCAGTCCCCCCACCTGGGTGTTGGACCACTATGCTATACATGCAGTGAATGATAAGAGGGTGTTGCCTTTTGAATGGAAATATTGTGTCATTCTCCTATTTTATAAGTATTCTGTTTCTCTTGTAAGCCACCATGAGCTTTTTTGGGACGGGCAGCATATAAATCAAATAAACAAGTAAAAATGTCGTCTCTGGTGGGTCTCGTAATAGAAACTTAGGATCCCACAGAACTAAGACCACACTGGTTCTGTGTGCTATTAGTAGGGGTACAGCATGTATCATAAGGATTTATCCTCTTCAATGTAACAGGAAAGAGTTCATCTTTCTGGGCAGGATGATTTATTATTCCAGTGCTTTATCCCAGTTAATTTTTTTTTAATTGCTTGAGTGTCTAGGTTTCTACTGCCTCTCTTGATCTGCAGTCTAGTACAGGGGTGGGCAGTTATTTTGGGAGGAGGGCCGCTTACTGAGTTTTGGCAAGCCATCAAGGGCCGCATGACAGGCAGCCGGGGCAGATATACATTCATTTTCTAAACCGTTTTTAGGGGCACCGTGGGCCAGATAGAATGGCGTGGCGGGCTGCATTTTGCCCACCTCTGGCCTAGTATATCACTGATTTTCCTAATGAGAGTTCACTTGGACAGGTCACTAGTATGACATATATACTCTTGTGCTTCTTGGCACGGAGAAGAAGGCAACAGTATCTACCCTGGAGCCTGGACATTCTCCCTTTCTGGCCCCAAGTGTAATGAGGGCAGATTTCTTTTAAAGGAGTGGAACTGTGAAGGGTGCAGAAGGTAATGTACTGGCACAGAACAGTTTTTTTTTTAATTAAAGCCTAGAAGAATGTGTCCTGAGACTTTTGGAAAAGCTCTGGGCCAGATTTAGGGAACCAAAATTAATATGAAGTCTTATAGTCTAGTCTCAAGTGACTATAAGACTGCATAGTGAGAGTTTAATGTGCCATCTTGCTTTCATGAAGTGCCACTCAGAATAGCATGCACACTGTAACTACATATGAGCCAGTGTTTGTAATATTTGCACAGTGTTTGGCACAATGGAGGACTTGTTCTTGAATGCCGTGAGGCATTACCATAGCCGCCATGATTAATAATAATGCATTTTTAGGAAATGTACATTTAATATGAGGTGGTGGCTCTTAAGCAAACTTCTTTGTAGTCCAGTTGTAAGTAAATGGATGTATTTTGGAATGGTGATGGTATTGCTCAGAAGTTCTCAACAACTTGCCTGATACTGATTTCCTTGTTGAAAGTTAGTCTTCTGAGTAGTTGGTAGAACTGTCTTCTCCCTCTGGATCCTGTTGTGAATTCAGAGAAAATCCAGGACTGAGCAATTTAGTAGGTGAATGGTTGGTGCGAGGTTGACTTGTCACTTTTTTTTAAAGACCTTCTGTGTTCCAACAACCAGTGATCTTCTTGGGAGCAGATGTCACTCATCCGCCTGCTGGGGATGGAAAGAAGCCTTCCATTGCTGCTGTGAGTCCTGTTATACTGGTTTAGTTTTATTAATTTGTTATAAAAAGATCAGGCTAGAAAATACAGCTACATTTGAGGACTGAAATTTTATAAATTAACTCACTGATTTTTTTTCATGGCATTTATTTCCACTGTGTCTTCCAGTTGTATGTATACATTTCCAGTTTAATTGCCAGAAATCTTATGGCTGCTTTACAGGAAAAGTAAGACTTGAGACTTCTGATTAATGCTTTTTAGCATTTTAAAATACTTGACCATAAGGTAAGGAGGGATGTTCACTGAATGGGTTGTCTTCAAGAAAATGTAACTGAATTATAAGTGCTTTAAATTCTCTTCTAATATTCAGGCTGACAGTTATCACTGCTGTCTTTTAGAATTTTAAAAAGGGCTTAAAGAGAGAGGTGTTAACAGAGCAGTCTTTAGTAATTTTCTTACTTTTGGCCTGGCAAAGTTGAGATGATTTTAGGGTGAGATCTTAAGACAGTTGTATGGTAATGTTGCCCTCCTGTTATACTGTCTGATATTTCACAGGCTAGGTTTATTTGCTTCTTAGGAAGGCTACCTTTGCTTTCTAAAGAATGGTGTGTCTAAATTGGGCGAAAAATAGAGCCAGTGATAACAATAATAACAATAATAGCCAATGATCCTTCCTGAAGAGGAACATTTAAATTCCAATTATGAGCCAAGAAAAAGTATCTTCTCAGCTTTACTAGGAAGGGAATAGAAGGGGAAGGGAAAGAGCAATTTTGAGGCAAATACTCTTTCCGTACAGGTTATAAAGGGCAAGGTTCATCCTTTTCCATAAGTGTGCCAGGACTTCAAACCCACAACTTAAAACAAACTTAAATGACCTGGTTTCATTATCTTTAAATCAAACCTTTATATGAAATCATTTAACCTTTTCCTCTTAACTTGTTCTTTCTCATTTCCCTGTAGACAGGACCTCTTAGCCTTTTTATTTTTATATTTATGCTTTAACCTGTAGGTTGTAGGTAGTATGGATGCTCATCCAAGCAGGTATTGTGCCACAGTGAGAGTTCAAAGACCCCGGCAGGAGATCATACAAGATTTAGCCTCCATGGTTAGAGAACTTCTCATCCAGTTCTACAAGTCAACACGGTTCAAACCCACACGTATCATCTTCTACCGGGATGGAGTCTCTGAAGGACAGTTTCGACAGGTCATTATGCTTAAAGTCTTTTACTCTGGCAGGGTTTGGATTGAGGAATGTTTGTTTGATCCATGTATATAAACTGGAACTGTGATTTAACTCAAAGCAGTTTAACTTAGATGTCTTAGCACCACGTGTTGACCTCTTTTTATGTACATAAGAAATTCCCAAAAGGTGGAGATTAGTCAAAAGCCTTAATTTCCTCTGTCCATACTCAGTGTTGCAATAGGACAAAAAAATTCTCTGAATGGGAAGCCAATTACTTACAGACAGGAAAATGATATAGATTTTCTTTCAAATCTGAATTTCATAATAGACTGGAGACAGTTGAGAACAACTTGTACAAGCTATAAACACGCTGTATGGAATACATTGTGAGAGTCAGCTAAACCATTTTGTTTCTCTGTTTTTAGGTTTTGTATTATGAGCTGCTAGCAATTAGAGAGGCCTGCATCAGTTTGGAGAAAGACTACCAGCCTGGAATAACTTATATCGTAGTGCAGAAACGACATCACACACGATTGTTCTGTGCTGACAGAACAGAAAGGGTAACTTTTAGTTTATTACCAAGTAGCTATGTGCATGAACAGGTAGAGAAAATATTTGCAGTGAGTTTGACAAAAACTACCCAAATGTTCCGTGCTTCCTTGGATTCAGAGGAGATGCTCTGGATTGATAGATGCGAAGTATGAGCTCCTCCATCTTACTTGAAAACAGCATTTTTCTTGTATCAGCATCAGCTTTACCACTCCATCTGGCCCTAGTGAATGTGTCATAGAATTACAGACATTCAAGAGGCGTATTGTGCTATGGCAGTAAATTAGTTTCAGTAAGACAACGCTAATATCCTTTTAAACAACATTTGCTACTGGTTTGTACCAAAATCACAAATACCAGAGAATATACATATGAAACTAAAAAGGGCATTATTTCAGTTAGCTTTCCTTGTCTGATCTAATACAGACTGGATGGGCACTCAAATCAAAACATAAATGTTCAGCTACTTGTTCTTCAGAGTAGGAATATCTGAAAGTGCTGTGATTGCAGCTTGTTCAGCTTTGGAGAGAGGGAAATCAAATATCCTGTATTACTATATTGACCCTCTTTTTCCAAGAGAGTGTACAGGTGATTCATTGAGTGCTGTAAACAAAACAGTGTTCTTTTTTGATGGTACAAGTACACTCGCTTGTTTTCCGAAATGATCTAGTGAATATTTTTCTTTACTCCTTCTTAGGTTGGAAGAAGTGGCAACATTCCAGCTGGAACAACCGTAGATACGGACATTACACATCCATATGAGTTTGATTTTTACCTCTGTAGCCATGCTGGAATACAGGTAGGATTCCTTCCTTCATAAATTAATAGACGATATTTTGGCAACCCCCCCCCCCCGCCCCAATCTCTGCTTATCTAAGAGCTGAGAATCTTGTTTGTTGTAAAAGCGATTCACTAAAAGATTCCACTGGTGAAGTTTTCGTGTTGTCTTCATATGAGGTCCCTAACTTAATTTGAAAAGTGGTTAAATTAATTTGAAAGTAAAATAATATGTTAATACATATATAGCTATAATAAAATGAAAGCTGTTTTTATTTGGGGACTTGGTTCAATTTCAGGATTAAAAACTATGCTGGAAATTAGTAAATTGTAGGATATACAAATGGAACCCAGCAGCTTGACAGCAGTACAGTGGGTAGCCAGTTTAATGAGTAAAATGACATCAATATATATGAAAGTAGAAGAAGGTAAACTCTTCCAAGGTCTGTTTTGTATGTTTGTGAAATTTGTGCCTGGACTACAGGCTATTTTGGCAGAGTGCTGTGGACATACTCTGTCTTTTTGACTTTTCCAAGGGTTCACCTGCTCTGACAAGCCTTAGTTTATACGTACGTATCTAGATTTGTGGCATTTATAGGCAAACAGGTGCACCAAAAATACTTGCTGGTGTTCACTCCAAAAATTTTTTTGAAGGGAATGAAAAAATCTCTCATCTGAAGCAAAATGGAACCAGCTTCATATGTGGTTGGTACTAATTTTAATGCTGTGAGACGCGTTCCGACAAGAATGCTGTACTTAAATGTGAACTCCCTTCGTTCATTTGTAGCTGGAATGTCAACATCTTGAGACAGAGAAATTGCAGATGACGGGTAGGGAAAAAACCTAACTTTGTGCTCTTGTTTAAAAAAAAAGAAAGGCAAAATCACTAATGGTAGACTGGTTAGCATGTCATCTGCTTAGGCAATAGCCTGAAATGATTTAAATTTGTTTAATCCTTTAACTGTTGGTTTGATCTCATTCATTCAGTAGTATTTTATGGAAAAATAAGTTTTATTGAACTTCTTGGTATCTTTTTTCTGAGATAAATTTGAAGAAAGTAACTTGACACAATACTCTGAAAATTCTATAAGGTCTTGTCATAGGACCATTGAAAATACATTCTGGTTTAAGAAGCATCAGTGTAGCATATCCCATGGATTCAGAACCAGTTAACATTTTCAACGTAGCAGTAAATGGGGCATCATTTAACAAAAGAATTTCTAGTGAGGTTTCAGTGACCTCCTATTTAAGTGTCCCAGACATATCTTTCAGTAAACTGAAAAAAAGGACAGTTCCTTGCCGGTAAAGATGAGAGGACCGGAATATGCGAATGATAAAGATACTGGTGGATGACCAAGTGAACATGAGCTTCCAGCTTAATGTGGTGGCCAGGGTCAATTGTGATTCTTGAATGGGAGATACTGAGTGAAAGTAGGAAGATGTTAATAGTGTATCTGGCATTAATTAGACTGCTTCTGTAATACTTCATCCTTTTCTAGTGCTGCTACTTAAAGGTTCTTGGAAGCCAGGTGAGAGTACAGAGAAAAGCAACAAAGGTTATTTTGTCTCTGTAATGAGACATGAAAGCTCAGTTTTTAGTTTATCCAGAAGAAGGATAAGAGGTGGCTTGATCACAGTACAAATACCTTTATTGGGAAGAAACTTCTGATTGAGGGCTCACTTAATGTCGGGGATGGAAGATGACAAGATCAATTGGCTGGAAGCGGAAGCTTGACAAGTTCAGAGTAGGAAAAGGATGTACGTTTCTAAGTGACAGCAATCAACTTTTGAAGCAACTTATGTAATGTTGTTTGAGTTCTTAGTTGTTCAGTCTTTACAGATCTTTATAACTTTCACTGTTAATGTAGGAATTGCAGATAAACTGAGTGGCTTGTGTTGTTTGGGAAATCGGACTAAATCATCATGTAGATCAAAATCTAACTTGATGCATGTGAAACCATCAGACAAGTGAACTGATGTTCCCTTTTCCATAGGGTACCAGCCGTCCCTCACACTATCATGTTTTGTGGGATGATAACTGTTTTACTGCAGATGAACTTCAGCTGCTGACTTACCAGCTCTGCCACACATATGTGCGCTGCACACGATCTGTTTCTATACCCGCACCAGCCTATTATGCTCATCTGGTAGCATTCAGAGCACGATACCATCTTGTGGACAAAGAACATGACAGGTAATAAAAGCACAAGTGTTAGGCTTTATCTCAGTTGAGCCCTCTACCCAAAATATATTTTATTGAACGTTTAGACCTTTTGACCCTAGATAGTACAAACTGGGTGCATCTACACGAGACGTTTACTGCGCAGTAGGCTAATTAACTGTGCAGTAAATGTCTCAGCATCTGCATTTGCACCCCTATTAGGGCACACAAAACAAACTGCACAGCAGGGTAGGACTTGTAGTTACAAGTCCTACCCTGCTGAGGAGTATTTTTTTGTGCACAGCAGCATGTGTAGATGCTGAACCGGCTGGCTAGGGCAGTGGTTCCCAATAGGGCTGTGCGAAGCTTTGGGTGCTGTTTTGATTTGGAGGAGATTCGGCCTGATTCAGTGGCCAAATCTCCAAATCTGAACTGAATCGAATCAGGAAACCAATTAAAAGGTCCGAATCTATTTGAAGCTCTCCGAATCGATTTGGAAAAGATTTGGAGAGATTCGGGCAGTCCCTGCTCGCTGCCGCAGGGAGCTGGACCCAGACTCCATGCTGGTAAGTAGGGGGCTGGAGGATGGGAGAGGGGACCATGGGAGGACCCCTGCCAGGCCCTGACCCCTGCCCAGCCTCCCTCATGGCTGCCCTGCCTGGCCCAGTTTCTGGCTCTACAAAAAAAAAAAAAAAAAAAAAAAA